TGGATAATTGGACTCCCGGTAGAAACCTCCTAAACCATGAACACACCACTGACACCACTTGTGAGGCTAAAATAGATAGCATATATCACAGAGCGGTGCATTATATAAACACACATTGATAATATTACCAAAACAGAAACAAAATAATCTAAGAGTTAGATAATCTGATCTTCAATCATTTTATTTGTATGACAGTTACAAATTGTTCCTGTAACTCCTGCACTCATCAGGCATTTCCTCACTCGTAAGATTCTTTTAATGAAATACAGGAAACCAATAGATGTTTCCTCTCTCTGGCCATCCCATGTGATTTTGTGAGCGAGCGATTTAAATGATAATTAATAATAGTTAATAGACAGCTAGAGATAAGTTGACAATGTACCTAATGCAGTTGGCAGAATTACTAATGTGTCCTGTTACTCCATCATAGATTTGAAGCCGAGCCTCCTCCAGGTCACCAGCAGGTCAGAAGCTACCGGAACTGGAACCCTCCTTTGCTTGGAAATCTCCCAGACGATTTTCTGCGGATCCTGCCACAGCAGTTAGACAGTATAAAGGTAAAACAGGTTCAGCATAAAGATGGTAAATGAGGGATTTGGTTTCTAATTTTCTTCTTCTTCTACTAATTAAAGGGACCGTTCACCCCAAAATCAAAAAATACATATTTTCCCTCTTACCTGTAGTGCTATAACATAAGATGTGGAGCTGGTAGTAGAAGTAGTAATTGTAGTGTACCAGTAGAGTAGTAGTACAAGCAGCCATTGTGACCTCTTCAGGTGAACCATAATCAAACTACATGGATTAACGCTAGAACCAAGAACCTCTCCTGCCTTTCCTCAGCAGAGCTCTCAGAGCAGTCTATCCCAACCTTCATCATCCTCCTCCTCCTCGGTGTCTTCAATAAGCCAGTGGACAGCCCAGTCTGGCTCTCGCCCTGGAGCTGCAGGGACCACTGGAGATCCAGGTTTGACAACCGGAGCTACGGAGCAAGACAAGAAACTGAAGCAGTATCTGGAAGACGAGCGCATCGCCCTGTTCCTGCAGAACGAGGAGTTCATGAGAGAGCTGCAGCGCAACCGCGAGTTCCTCATCGCCTTAGAGAGAGGTACGACTATGTACATTTGACTCATTACACACAGAAGAATCCTGCTCCTAATGTCAACATGAGGTCAGTGTCAGTCGCTGTACTGTTATTGGTGGTATAGTACTGTAAATGGCATATTAGTCACGGGAAATAATGCAGAGAAAGTAAAAACATTAAAATTTGAGTTTGACAGTTTGACCTCTAGTACTATGGACAGAACTGTTTATCAGTCACTCAATTTCTATCTTCAGTCTGACATTGCCTCCCCTCAATGTCCATGGGGGAGGGGGATTATGATTTTAGCGTAGTAAAAACGAGTGGTTGATATTTAGAAGACATGCTGTCTGTGTAAAATAAAGTCTCGATAGGAGCATCTATCTTATATGTAGCGGCCACCATTGTAGTTATTACTAGGGATTCCTAATAAACCGATAGGGTTCTTTCAGGGCAGGTATAGATACCAATTAATACTATTCAAGGAAAATATATAGATATAGAAAATAGAATAAAGCAGTGGAGTGTAAGTACATTTACTCAAGTACTCTACAATCTTGAGGTACATGTACTTCACTTTTGTTTCTATTTCCCCATCTGTGGCACAGCAGCCTTCAGTGTTGATGTTGATGTTATTTAGCAACACCTCAAAGTTCTGACAACAGACAGAGAGATTAATTGCAATTAATTTAATGCAATCATGTAAAGTATAATTGTAATTATGCCAATAATCACAAAAATGCTGAATATCAGATCCGATAATTTGGCTAGGCCAATAATCAGCCTGTACCTAGTGATTACTACTCCTTGGTTCCATGGCACAGCTTGGCAGAGCTTCACACAACGGCATTAGTCGCGATGATTGGCTAATTATTAGTATCCCTGCACTGTTCATTGGGTTAAACACTTTTTCAACCGAGAAACCGCTGTTAAGAATGTCATGATGCCAGGACAGGACACATTTTATATTATCAAAATGATAGCTAATTAGCCTATCTACGGATTATGTAGAATAGCTAGCTAAGATGCAAATATATATTATAATATATATATATATATATATATATATATATAGTATATATAATAATTATACATTATATATCTATATATAATATATACTATACATATATAAACACACCACACACACACACACAGTATGTCACTAGTAAGTAATGATGTAAACAATGCTATATTTAAAATACAACATTTTAAATGTTTGGGAGGAAGGAAATATTATGGATTTGTTAGAGTTCAAGGATACACACACTGTTTTTTGGTGAGTTCTTGAAAACTCCACAGGGTAGCTTTTGTTTTTTGTGCTGTTATTACCACAATTTGCCTTGATGCTCAAGTCCAATGCTTGTCTCTTTGGAATTACTTTTGTCTAAGTAATGAAACTTAAACATATGATTGCAAACCATACAGCAGTACCAGCAACCCAAAGCTACCAAGACTAGAGAGTGTTGGAGCTGTTTGTTTCTTTATCATACATCATCACTGGGCTCCACAATATGGTAAAAATTCACATTGTGATTAGTTTTACAGATATTGCCATATAATTGTTTGTACCAAACAAACTTTGTAGTCCCACATTTGACCTTTTATTAAACAATTGCACCTTCTGCAATTTGGATATTGCACCATCTTGCAATTTCTATAATATTTCAATTATTGTACAGCCCTAATCGTACTTTTGTTTGATTTTCTTTACTTGAACAAAATGAATTCCATGTGTCTCCATTTGTCATAGTTTTACATCCCTCAGCTTATGATCAAGGCAATTGCTTCTATTGTTTTAGTAGGTATATTAAGAGGTCCACACTAAAGTTCTTTTAGGTGTTTTAATAAAGGATGGATGTCTCTGAGTTCTTTAATTGCATTATTCACTCCATTCAATCAGTAATCATTCAAAATATGACTATGATTAAAGACTCCATTCTGAGACAAAAGTAATAACCACCTTTGTGTGAAGTCTTTGACTAGTGGAACAACATATTGAACAAACGATTGTCCAGTAACTGATTTGACATACAGCAAGGCAAATCATTTTGGATACAGTAAAATATTTGTGTCAGAAATCCAGGCTCTGCTGAGAAAAGATTGGCGAAAAGAAAAATGGTTGCCTTGGCTGTTCTGGTGCAACAATGCAAAGCTTTGAACCGTTTTCTCCTCTCATCAGACATTGGTTGAGATGAATGGACGTGGAGGTTTAGAAGTTTGAGCATTGCACCATTATACCAGAACTCATCACATCTTGGTTCCTCACATCAGTGGTCATAACATCTGCTCTCTGTTTTTAGATCGCTTGAAGTATGAATCAAAGAAATCAAAGTCCAATCATTCATCTAGCATGGAGAATTCCACAGGTAGATATCACTCATCAAGCTTCCTCTGCCAAGCTATCTGCAACTGTGTCTTTTCACACTGAATTCTACTGAATACTGGTCTGTGTTTGTCTATACATTCACTGTGATATCTGTTGGTTGTGGCAAACATTTGTGCTACGGACATCATAATATACATAGACAGACACACACACACACACTCTTGATGTGTTTGATGCGGGTAAATAAAGTTGCTGTGTCTGTGCAGGAGAGCAGTACTCTGCAGCTTCACTGGAGGCCGTCTCAGATGATGCCCTATTCAGAGACAAACTCAAACACATGGGCAAATGTAAGTCGCCAGACTGAGAATACTGCTGCTAATTTACAAATAACTGCGCTATTTTTTAAAAAGCATTGTCCACTGTAGTCAATAACCCAAGATGTTTTCTCACCTTCAGCAACGAGAAAGAAACTGTTTGAAATTGCCAGAACATTCTCAGAGAAAACGAAGAGGAGGAAGTCAAAAAGGAGGACGCTCCTGAAGCATCATTCGTATCCTTTGCTTAACCTTTGTCACATTATCTACCTAACATTCCCTTTTTTGTTGTAAGTAGCCAAATATTATTTACTTACCATGATCAAATGTCATTTAAAAGGTGGGAATGCTTTAATTCACCATTTAGCTTCATTAACACTGACTGATTCAGTAGTACCATTCAACTGTACACATTCCTGTAACATGCGTATTGTGTTCTTTAATAATTTGCTCTGAATATGCTTTTACACCCTCAAAGTCTTCCATTATCTGCAGTCCTATATACTCCATCACCACCATTATTGTTGAGATTCCTGCTGCTCGCATATATCATCAGCCATGGATCAGCCTCAGTAACTGATGTCTTTGTCCACTTCCATGAGGAGTTTAGGTGTTCTTAACTAAGCTCCTTTCCAGACTGGGCGCAGCCAACTCCACAGCGAATCTTCTCGATGATGTAGAGGGAAACCCCTGTGGTAAGATGTGCATGTCACCCACACAATGTGAAATATTTTTGGTTTTATCACGATGTCACATAGAAGTGGCTCTTGTACCTAGGGCCTGTTCTTGTTGCTGCCATGATCGTGCTCTGTGCTGTTTCTGAGTCAGCTTTTTCAGCCTTGGTAAGGGTCTTTCGATATCGCCACTTCGTTCAATTTGGGCGGGGTCGGTAACCCCCCCCACCTTGTAGGGCTTGTCCCTCAGTTGTCTTTGTCATCTTCCTCCGCACTCTTATGGGTTTCTGTTCTGCGACATTCGCCTGGCAGTTCATTCCTTTGTGGCATTTTTCTGATGTACTCTTGGATTTTTGGGATCTGTTCATCCTGGATAGTTAATGGACGAAATTCAAAAGATTAATAACAAATGTAAAATAAAAAACTAAAAAAAAACTTTTGATTTAGTGTCACTTAATCTGTTTTTGTAGCACTTACTATAACCCTGGTGTTGAATTTCCATTTTACAGTTGTCACTTTATTTTCTTGTTGGCATATATGGGTGCAGCTAAGTTTCAAAAATCTGCAATGTTTTCATTGTTTAATTGATGAGGATTGATGTTAATTTATTTTGATTAAAGTTAAATATATTTAAGTTTTTTTGTTTTTCTTTTTTAATTTTCATTAATAAATTATAATATAATAATAATAAATAATAATTTTCGTTAATGAGAATTTTCCATTTGAAACTTTAACAAATAAAAATACATTGGAGGGGCTAAAAGAAGGCCTTTAGCACATTTTTTATGGTTGCTTTTTTAATCTTGGGCATCAAATACTGAACTGCATATGTATGCAGGACTTGCTAGCATGTACAAATCACAGCAGTACAATATTGTGCTGTACTAGTTATTTGAACTCAAGAAGCAAGAAGCTGCAAGCCTTTAATTTAGAGTTATGTAAAGTTTTGATGGGACAGTTACGGTCCTAGAGATGTGGTGACAACAGCTGCGCAGGAGGGGTTGGCCAATTTGGATTTTTGGTCATGGGGCAAAATTTCCTGACGGGCGCCCCTGCTCGTACTTCACTGTAAGGTCCATTTCTCAGTGGATGTGCATCTGGTGGCTTCAAGTTTCTACATCACACTGCACAAGTTGCATAATGGATAGAAAACTCGCACATACATTCTGCACCAGTGAAACTTAAACATCACACTGTAGGGGAAGAGGGGAAAACACTGATTTTTGACTGGGAGGGGCTCTTATGGGTCAGAATACAATTAAAATAATGCAGTAACAGCAGAATTCCTGGATTCATATCTTGATCAGCCATGCTTTAGTTTGGCGTTGAAAGTCAATTTTACTCTAAATGGGACACGTTAATGACTATAATGAAATTTATGCTGTATGGAAAGGAAGAAACTAGAGATGGGGACTTCATAAAACTCATTAAGTTAACTATTTGCTGAGCTTAATAATTTCAAATAAGTTGTATAATTTCATTTTTTTATTTGGTGTTTACATAGAAATGCGGGTTTAAGACACTTCCAAGTTGGGCTTACTTCCGTACCCTTGAAGTTTTCACATTATACTGTATGTCAATGAAAATAAACACATGATTCAAAGTTTGGACCTCATTACGACTGCTCAGAGTGAGAGAAAGAGAGCAGCGTGGTTTGCAGCGAGGTACATGATGAATGGAGGAGTTAAGCGTTAGCAATACAAAGCGTCAATTTCAGAGAACAACTTTTTTTAGTAAAAACCATTTTGTGTGATTTTATCCTAGGTTCAGGAAAAAACACATAACTTGTTAGACTGCAGCACATTTATACATCCATTGACGGGAGCACGAAGAGCGACACAAAGACAGGATGAACCTGCTTGCTAACATTTTTATGAGGTCTGACCTCAGAACTGGCGTTCGCCAACCGGTTAAATCCAGAAACATCCTGAAATACAGCATAATGAGGGAAAATATCAGGTCAGGGGGGGTGCAGCCCACTGACATCACACCCTACTGGTGGAGTCATGTATACTACATTGTATTTTTAAGCGAAAATCCTGCTTCACTTAGTTTAGACTTTTAAACCTCTTGCCACACCTATGATTCACCAGACGAGGTGTGGGGGATTGTGGCAGTTACTGATGTTGTGAACCACTGCTGTGTTTCTCCATTACAATGAATGGAGAAAAGCCATGTTTTTGTTTTCTTTGTTTTTTTAATGCAAGCCTTCTACTAGGAATGTACTGTTATTGTTATGATACTGGACATTTTCCATGGTTACCCTGCTAGTTGCTGAATCATTTCACAGATCTAAATAGCATGACTTTTGATTTGGAGGAATGCACTTTTTTTTTTTGTGTCCGTTTTCGAGGAAGATGGTCAGCCTAGAGAGGCAAACACTTCAGGAGAGATCATCGAACAACGCAATGAGCCAGTATTCATGGTAAGATTAAATGAGTCCTATTATAGTACCCTGTTGGCGTGTGTGTGATTGCAAGTTTACTTGAACGCGCTCACGCTGTCTTTGGCGAGCTGGGAATAAGAACAGGCTGTGAAGCGGGTAGGAGATTTACTTTTGTTGTGTTTTTTCTCTTTTGTTGTTGTCTTGCCTTGTTCGGCCTAGACTGTAAACAGTTAGATTCCTTTGTGTGTTTCTGTAGATTTTATCGTATGTAATTGTTATATTGGTCATTAAATTTTTGCAACCACAGACATTAATATATTATATTTCATTTTCTGACAATAGATCCTCCTAAATGTTACACACTGGACCTTTTTTTAGTTCTGTACCTTTTTAGGTCAAACACATTCAGAGTGGATTTTCTGTTTCGTGCGATGTTTAGGATCAATGGAAAGGCTCTGCTACACTAAAAATGCGATTTGTGTTTTTGGAGCATGTAAAGTAACAGACAGAGGTGTAGGTGTTTGTGTCGGGGGATTTAAGTAGTTTGTGGGTAAACCGTAAACTAAAATAAGGTGGGGAATTAAGTAAGAATAAGGAAGTAGAATTAAAATGGTGAATAAAAAATAATGTACTGGAAACAATTTAATGTTAATTAGCCTGTCATAATGTGGGAAACTGCAACTGGTCTTCAATATGTGTTCAGTGGCAGGAAAAAACAGCCTATTTTGTGTGCTTAGGACTGTTTTACTTTTTATTGTTTTTTTAATACTACACTTTTAAAAAACAAAATGGAAAAAAAAAACAGATTTTCCAGCAACCTTCAAATTTAATGATTTACAGTTACAGATTTTATTATTATTTTACATTGTAAATTCCCAGGTTGTTTTTGTTATTGTATTAATATTTCCATGTATTTAAAAAAATACAGGAAAAATGAAATGAACAAGAAAAACCCTGTAAACTTACTTAGTGGTATCGGAGTTTAAAATTCAGGTACGGTGACAACCTTACAACCAATGTCCTTTCACTGCTGCCCTGACAGTGTTGGTAATCATGTCCTCCTACAGGTTGATCCCATCAGAAGAGTTCTGATTAGATCAGCGCTCCACAGCTTTAGTGTGTCTTCCTCTACTTCTCTGCTTTTTTCCTCTCAACAAAGCTAAAAATAAACCTTCTTTTCCAGAGTTTCAAACACTTGATCACTGTGCTGTCTGTAGCCCTGTCAGCCAGCTCTTTCACTTTCAAAAGCCACAAAGTATGGCTTTTACAATATCTTCATTCATCATTTTCTTTTGGGATGAAAACCGCAATTATCCACACTCTCTTCTGCATTTCAGATCCTCCCATGTTGCACCATATCAGGGTTACCATGGCGACGACAGCATGACCCATGGGTGGTGGCCTTGGAGCTCTTCCTGTCCCCACCTGCTCACCCTCACCCTAATCCAAACCAGCCAATGTAAGGCTCAGCAATGAGTTGAGACTCCCCCACCCCCTCCCTTCCTTCCCAGGGAGAGGAACTGGACTCTTCCCAGCACTGGGCTAACTGTTTGTAAATGCATACTCTGTATTATAACACTTTGTTGATATATAATTTTAAATGTAAAGGAAAATGCATTAGTCCTTACCAGTATGTGTTAACTGCTTCCTTTAATCCCCGGAGAGGAACACTAGCGCAGTATATGAACCTTTGTTACTTTTCCAGTCCTGTACAGTAGCAGACTGTGTGTCTGATCGGGGTCCCTCAGGCTGGGCTTTTCAAATCCAAAGTGTGCACATGCCCCTTTATATACACTAAACCATGTAGAGCTTTTTTACCATGTTTTCTTAATCAGATTGTAATATTTAGCTGTTTTTGAACGTCAGGGGTTATGTAACTGAAATTCTTACGTGTCGAGTATTGTGGCCATTAAAGCAAACGTCAACGCTCCTCCGCGGCCATAATGATCAGTCGATCACAGTTTAGTAGTTTGGTTTGTATGACGAGATGAAAACGTGTCATTCAGTCAGTTGTAGCACCACTAACAGCAGAGTTGCACAGGTAAAAAAATACATTAAGGACATAAAACTCAAGTCAACTTTATATAGCACCTTTCATACAAAGTGCTTCACAGCGCAAGATTAAGATTAAAACAGACATGGTTAAAACAATTATAGACAAAAATATATACAAAGACAAAAATACACAAACACAGCAATAAAACAATAGAATATTACAACAAATAACCACAAGACTTAAAAAACTGCAACAGAAAAAACAATAAAATATTAAATAAATGAAAGTCCAGTAAATAAACATAAGGGATAAAAAGTATGGAAAAACCAATGATAACTAAGGTGACGAGGTACTTTAAACATACAATATGTAATTTCTGCCGCTAGGGAGGGAAACCATAACAAAAGACGAAGTTTGATGACATCGTGAAGTAGTGTGGAATCATGGGAGTTGTTGTCATTGCAGTCAGCTTCTCCCGGTTAGGATTGCTTCAGTGTTCATCGTTCAGGAAGTTTCTATACGTATCACGATTCAATATATTACAATTCTGAAAATCTAACTTTAGGAACACTATCATAGTATAACGAAGACACCACCATATCCATAAAATGGAAAAGTCTGCATTTGTATTTATATAACATTTAACATCATAGCCCTCAGTTTACATTTACAACACTGCTATCCAGCTGTTGGGGGTTCAAACACAAAATTCTTTTTTTTTTTTTTTAAGAATTAATACAATATCACAAAACAAAATATTGCAATATATTTTTCTATATTTTCTTACAGCCGTAGTCATTACTGTAATTTTTTTAGAATAGCATTGTTCTCACCTCGCCTTTGAACCAAACTAGGAGTGTGAATCCACTGCTTTAGACATGCTTGAAGTAAGCGTGCCCATAGAGCTTCATTCACTGCTTCACTAGAAACTTTGCTAACATTCTGCCAGGTTTCCAAAATTCCCACATTAAAGCTGCAGTAGGTAACTTTTAGAAAATTACCTTTCGCCATATTTGCTTTGCTTACTTTTACTATATCCTATAAAGACACTTAGGGTCGGAGGCTTGAAGACTGTTGATTGTTGAGTCTTTGTGTCTTTATATCTCTCGGATCTGATTGGTTGTTTTTGTTCAGACCTGGTGGATGGACCTAGGAGGAGCCAGAGGAACCTGATATTTTTTCAGATTATCTGTCAGGATATAGTGAAGGTTTCAGCAAATGTGACAAAATAAATATTTTTATAAAAAATTACCTACTGCAGCTTTAAACCTAATCTATATTTTTGCAAGACATTCTGGGAATAAGAAATATCGCAGAGACTACATTGTCATATCTCAGACTGTTCCTGTAGTCTTTGAGTAAATTATGTCTTTGTTGATCTCATCTCCCTGAGTGAAGGGGAACACATTTCTAAATGCCAGTGTTAATACAGTAAACAATAGCATCATGTTCAGATGTAGGAGAATACATTTTGTGATCTAAACGTCTGTTTTAGAGGATAAAGCATCTGAAACATGATTGGATGATTATACTGTTAGAGGATACCATTGGAAGTGAAGTCTGTCGTTAAAAAACAAGAAATGCCTGTGAGGTTTTCATCCATCCCTTTCTACTGCTCTTTCCATTTGTATGTGTAGATGTGAAACTAGCATGGAGTAAAGATGTAGTCAAAGTCTGATGTAGCCTGTGTGAACAGAAGGTGTTGGAGGAGGTACACAAAAAAAATGCGTGATGTGGATATAAGAACTGCCTTTTTAAGGTAGAGATTTTCAACAAATTAAATGGATTAACTTTCAATCTGTGAAATCAACTGTCTTTCTCCCTTTGTGAATTGAAAAAATGTTTTTTTTTAATCCCTTTAGAAAATATTCAGTTAATCTTTCTGTATGTTATTCTCAATTATTAATCTGCTGAAAGACCAGCATGATTTGACATCACAAATAGTTAGGAAGTAGTCCTGGTTCCAGTATACAACTTGTACCAGTGTGATGTAGAAATTGAAGGCACAGATGCACATCCACTGAGAATGGATCTTTACAGTGAAGTAGGAGACATCTTGTGTCCAGCAGCAAACTTTAGAAATGAACAATATTTGCATATTCAGAGATTCTGGAAGCTTTAATGAGGTAGGAGGAGATTAATTTTTAAGGAGTTGAATGTGGAAATTACAAATTTTTGCAAAAAAAAGAACAACCAAGCAAAAAAAACCCATATCAGACACATTATTGTTCCAGGTAAACTATTTGTATGTTGTCTTATTACATGTCTGGAGGGGATCTTTAAAGTCCAGTTTGCATCAACTTGTTTAAACATTTTACTTTAAAGGAAAATGTGCAAGTTGACTATCATGTTAAAGCTGCAGTAGGTTACTTTTTGTCATATCTGCTAAAACGTTTGTCTTTTTGTTGGTGGCTTGAATCTTTGGGACTCAAAGCGTCTGTATTTGCTGACCTGGGAATGAGACTCAACAATCAGCTATATTTCTTGGCTCTGATTGGTTGTTTTTGTCCAGGCTCGGTGGTTTCTTGCAAATGCCATTAGTAGGAGCAGCCAGAGAAACCAATTTTTTTTTTTTTTTTTTTTTGTTTTTTTTTTTTTTTCCCCCAACAAGAAATTTTTTTATCTTTTTTTTGTTCCCCCCCCCCCCCCCCTCCAATGTACTGAAACCTTGTCCCCCAGAAAAATATAAATTAAAAAGTTTTTTCAAAAGCAAAAAATAATGAACCCAAAATTTTATGAAAACCGACAAAACTTTTTTTTTTTTTTTTTTTTTTTTTTTTTTAAAAATGAAAAAAATAAAACCTTACTTTTGCCAACTTTATAAAAAAAGGAAAAAAGTTTTTTAGTTCCCCTAAAAAAATAATATTGATTTTTTTTTTTTTCAACCTTTTTTTTTTAAAACCAAAATTGAAAACATTTCCAAAAAAAAAAAACATTTCCAAAAAAAAATGGATTTGGGGTTACAGTATAAATAAAAAAAAATTTTAGCCCCCCATTGGTGGAAAAAAAAAATTTGAAAACTGGGGAAAAATTGATTGGGTTAAAAAAAGGTTTGGCCCAAAGACAAAAAAGGTAAGTATGGGGGGGGGGGTTTTTTTCCCAAACAAAGAAACCCTGAGGGGGACAAGAAAAAAGCCCCAGTCCCAACATGGAAAAAAAAAAAAGTCAAACAGGGAAAGCAAAAAAAAAATGGGAAAAAAAAAAAAAACGGAAAAAAAATTGGGCCCCCTTTTTTTTTTTGGCCCCTTTTTTTTTTTTTTTTGTTTTTTTTTTTTTTTTTTTTTTTTTAGTCCTGGTGACCCCCCTTTTTTCACCCCAAAAAACCTCCCTAAAATCCCAACTTTTTTGGGAAATTTTTCCCCCCCACCAGAATTCCCCCCAAAAACAAAATTAATCAACCACGTTTTTTTTTTTAAAAAAACTCTTTCCAAATATTTTCCTTTTTGGTTTCCCCCAATAAATAACTTCCTGGAAAACCCCCCAAAAATTTTCCCCCAAAAGGGGGTTTCCCCCCTTTTTTTGGAAAAATACTTTTTTTTTGGGGGGGGGTGTTTTTTTTTTTGTTAAAATTGTTGGAAAAAAAAAACTTTTGGTTTTTTTTTCTCCAAATTGAAAAAAGGGCCCTGGGCTTTTCCCCCCCTAAGAAAGGTTAAAGGAAACAACGTTGGTTTGGTCCCCTGGGGGTTCCCCCCCTGGTTTTTTTTTTTTTTTTTTTGGCCCCCCTTTGTTGATCTGGGTAAAAAAGTGGGGGTTTTTTTTTTTTTTTTTTTTTCATGT